TGGTTTGGCCACCAAGACTTGTGTGTCTAAATCGTCAGGATGAATCTCTCGAGGCCATGTAGAGACGGTACAGAATAACGAAGCAAGAACTATCCCTACATGCTCACCAAGACTGGTCGTGATGACCAGGAGGGATTCCTCCTGGCCATCAAGACTGTACCCCTCCCAGCCGGGAGGGGTACAGTCTGGTGAAGGGAGAACTTTATTCTCCCTTCACCTCGCAATTATTGCGTCAGGAAGGGCGGGTTCGTCTGCCCACCCCTCCATGAGGGGCGGGTGGGATTGCACGCCCCTTTTGGAGGGGCGTGGGCGTGGGCGTGCGGGGAGGGGGGAGGAGTGCGATTATCATTGCCCAAGTCGTCCACATGGATGAAAAACCACACCGGATCACCTGCCAATCGATAGAATACACACGGGTCGGAAACTGCAATGCTAAATCCGACTGAGACAAGCCATTTTGAAAGACGATTATACCACGCCAGTGGAGCCTGCTTTAGGCCATAGATAGTCTTCTTCAGTTTTAGACAATGTCTTTTCTTGTCAACATTAACACCTTGAGGGATAGACAGAAAAACGTCTTCCTCCAGGTCAGCATTGAGGAAAGCCGTCTTCACGTCAAGTTGATGAAATTCAAGACCGTTCGCTGCAGCGTAAGAGATGAGGGCACGTAAAGAGTTGAGTCGTCCCGTTGGAGCAAATGTCTTCGAAAAATCAACTCCATGCACTTGGGAAAAACCCTGCGCACACAATCGCGCCTTGAATACAGTGGAGCCATCGGATTTCTTCTTTCTGAAGACCCAAGTGGTGCCGACTGTCTTGATGTCGGAGGAGAGAGCAACAACCTCCCACACCAGTAGCCTTTCCATCGCATCAAGTTCAGACTTGATTGCCGCAGCCCAACCGGCAGACTCTCTACCGTTTACAGCCTGATGATAATGAGCCGGAATGTTGTCGCCTGTGGAAGTGATGAACACGCGGGCTTTGCGAACACGGCGAAAAGGAAGGATATTCGATGAAGACACGTCTCCATTGATGAGTGAAGATTCGGTTGGAACAATCGGATCAACCGGAGGAATGATGGCTTCATCATTATGAGACGAGTCGATCGTGACTGGCTCCAGGCGATCAATAGGATTATGATCAACCTCTTCATTGTGAGTCGACACGGAGGAACAATCAGAGTCGGCTTCAAAAGAGTCGTGAGCATATTCCTCCTCCAGCAGAGGTTCACTCATGGAGAAAGGAACAGAATCGTTAGAAAGCTTCGGGAAGATCGTCTCGTCGAATTTGGCATGTCGAGTTTTGACAAGCTTCTTGTCACGCAGTCGAAGAATTCGGTAGACGGAGCCCTCGTTTTCGAATCCGACCAGGATACCAACGTCACCAGTATTACCCAACTTCCAGGCCCGGTGGCTCTTCGGAACCGCGATGAAAGCTTTACATCCAAAGGTTCTTAGGCGATGACACGGAGCATTTGATTTAGTCCACATTTGGTAAGGAGAAGCAGGACGAGAGGGTGACGCTAACATATTGGAAATGAATGTAGCAGCATTCACGGCTTCAGCCCAGTACGTTTTTGGAAGACTGCTTGCAAGAAGAAGACATCTTGCTTTGTCCAGAATTGTGCGATTTGCTCTTTCGGCGAAACCATTGAGCTCAGGGTTTCAGCAGGGGATTAGCATCTGATACATGTCCTACTACTAA